CTTGAAACCTATAAATTTTATTAACAAATGTCACCCCAATACATTTAATTTAAAAAACCTTCCAACAAAGAACATCCCACAACCAGATGGCTTCATGGGTAAATTGTACAAAACATTTAAAGGAGAATTAATACCAGTCTTTCTCAAGCTCTTCTAAAAAATTAGAGGTGGAAACACATCCAAATTCATTTGATAAGGCCGGCATTACCCTCATAACCAAAGCCAGAAAAGGACTACAAGGAAAGAAAATTACAGGCCAATATCCCTAATGAATATAGATACAAATATCCTCAACAAAATACTAGCAAACCAGATTCAACAGCACAAAAAAGGATTGTATAACATGATCAAGTGGGATTTATCTCTGGGATGTAAGAATAGTTAAACATACATATGCAAATCAATTAATGTGATTCACCACATTAACAGAATGAAGGCTGCAAACCATATCATCACCTCAATAAATGCAGAAAAAGCATTTGACAAAATCCAAAATCTTTTCATGATAAAAGTCTATGAATGTAACTCAGCATAATGTAATCCATATACAACAAGCCCATAGCTAACATCGCCCTCAATGGTGAAAGTTGAAGGCTTTTTCTGAAAGGTCAGAAGTATGACAGGTGCCTACTCTCACCAGTTCTATTTAACATAACACTGGTAGTTCTAGGCAGAACAAATTGGCAAGGAAAAAAGAAAAGTCATCCAAATTGGAAGGAAGTAAAATTAGTCTGTTTCCAGATGTGATGGTCTTATATGTAGAAAACTTTAAACACTTCACACACACACAAAAAAAAAGAATAAACAAATTCAGTAAAGTTGCAGGATGCAAAATCAACAGACAAAAACCAGTTACATTTTTATACACTAATAATGAACTGTCTGAAAAAGAAATTAAGAAAACATTCTCATATACAATAACATCAGAAACAAAATACTCCCGAATAATTTTAACAAATGAGGGTAAAGATCTGTACAATGGAAAGTAAGATATTGATTAAATAATTTGAAGAGACACAAATAAATGAAAACATATCCTGGATTGGAAGAATATTGCTGAAATGTTCATACTACTTACAGTGATCTACAGATTCAATGCAATCCCTATCAAAATTCCAATAGCATTTTTCACAAAAATAGAAAAAAACAATTCTAAAATTCATATGGAAGCACAAAGACCCCATATAGCCAAAGCAACCCTGAGCAAGAAAAACAAAGCAGGAGGCTTCCTGATTTTAAATGACATTACAAAACTCTAGTTATGAAAACACTGTGATACTGGCATAAAAACAGACTCATAGACTGATGGAATAAAATAGAGAGCCCAAGAATAAACCCATACATACACAGTTAGCTAATGTTTGACAAAGTCACCAATAATAAACAATGGGGAAGAGATAGTTTTCAATAAAGGGTGTTGGGAAAACTAGATATTTGCATGCAAAAGAATGACATTTGACTCTTATCTTTACACCATACATAAAATTGACTTGAAATGTACTAAAGACTTAAATGTAAGACCTGCATCCATCAAACTCCTAGAAGAAAACAAAGGGGAAAAGCTCCTTGACACTGGTCTTGGTAATAAGTTTTTTTGGATATGAAACCAAAAGTACAGACAACAAAAGCAAAGATCAACAAGTGAGACTACGTCAAACTAAAAAGCCTCTGTGCAGCTATTAAAACCATCAGCAAAATGAAAACACAACTTATGGAATGTGAGAAAATTTTTGCAAACCATATATCTGATAAGTGGTTAGTGTCCAAAATATGTAAGGAAGTCATACAACTCAATAGCAAAAGAGAAAATAATCCAATTTAAAAACGGGCAAAGGACCTGAATAAACCTTTTTCTATAAAGACATACAAATGACCAACAGGTATATTCAAAGGTGCTCAACATCACTAATCCTCAGGGAAATGGAAATCAAAACCACAGTGAGATATCACCTCACACCTGTTAGGAACGCTATTATAAGAAAGACGAGATAACAAGCATTGGTCGATAAAAAACTCTTGTACACTGTTGATAGGAATGTAAATTAGTATAGTCATTATGGAAAACAGTATGGAGATTCTTCAAAAAATTAAAAAACTTCTCCCATTCAAGTACTAACTAGGCCCAACTCTGCTTAGCTTCCCAGGTCAGATGAGATAGGGCACATTCAACGTAGTTAAAAAGCACTTCTGAATATTTATCTAAAGAAATCTGAAACATGAATTCAGAAAGACATATGCACCCCTATGTTCACTGCAGCATTATTTACAATAGCCAAGATATGGAAGCAACCTAAGTGCCCATCAATAGACGACTGGATAAAGAAGAGGTGGTACATATACACAATGAAATATTACTCAGTCATAAAAAAGAATGAAGTATTACCATTTCCAACAACATGGATGGACTTAGAGGGTATTATGCTAAGGGAAATAAGTCAGAGAAAGACAAATACCATATGATTTCACTTATACAGGATCGGACAATTAAGTTTGTGAACTCATCCTAGAAAAAGTGCTACATACTTCATTGCTGAATATCACTATGGTCACCTTCGAAGTACTCCCCTTGGGAAGAAATGCAATAGCTCCAGTGCCTAGTCCACCCTTCAAAACAATTTTGGAACTATTTTTCTGGAATGGCCATCAGAGCTGTCGTCGTCTTACCCTTGATGTCCTGAATGCCATCCAAATGTCTTCCTTTCAATATTTCCTTTATCTTTGAGTAAATAAAGAAGTCATTGGGGGCCAGATCAGGTGAGTAGGAAGGCTGTTCCAATACAGTTACTTGTTTACTGGTTAAAAACTCCCTCACAGACAGAGCCGTGTGAGCTGGTGCATTGTCATGATGCAAGAGCCATGAACTGTTGGTGACAAGTTCAGGTCGTCTCACTTTTTCATGCAGGCTTCTCAGCACTTCCAAATGGTAAACTTGGTTAACTGTTTGTCCAATTGGTACAAATTGATAATGAATAATCCTTTTGATATCAAAAAAGGTTAGCAACATTTTGCAACAAGTTCATGAACTTAATTGTAAGACCTCGTATGTATGTGAAATCTAAGAAACAAAAGTAATGAACAGACAAAATAGAAGCAGACAATAAACTGATGGTGGCCAGATGGGAAGGGTGGTGACAAAGGGTAAGGGATTAAGAAGTACAAATTGGTAGTTACAAAACAGTCATTGTAAAGTAAAGTAAAGCATAGGGAATAATATTGTAATAACAATGTATGGTGTCAGATGGCTACTAGATTTATTGGGGGGACCACCTTGATAAGTTATATAAATGTCTAACCACTGTGCTATACATCTGAAACAATGAAATATTGAATTTCAACTGTACTTGAAAAAAAAAGTTAAAAAACTTTAGTATTCTTTAAAGGAACACATCAAAACACAGCACTATTTTAATAAAGTAAAATTAACAATATCTGGCCTCCATAAAAAATTACTAGGTAAAGAAGAAGAAAAATGTGACCCATACACAAGAGAAAAATAGTCAATAGAAATGGAGCCAGAATTATCAAAGATGAAGGAATTAGCAAACAATCATTTAAAAATAACCATTATAACTATTATGAATACACTTAAGGATCTAAAGGGAAATGTATACATAATGGGGAGAGCAATGAAAGATAGAAAATAACCAAATGGAAGTTCTAGAGATGAACAATACAATATTAGAAACACAACCTGTCCTGGATGGGATTAGCTGAAGATTATGAGACTCTGAAAAAGAAAACATTGGTGAACTTGAAGTCATAGCGAAAGAAACTCTCCAACCTGAAGCATAGTGGGGGAAAGGCTATAAAAAATGAAAATGGATGGAACCTCAGTCACTTGTGATACAATATCAAGAATTGTAATACACATTTAATTGAAATACTGTAACCAACTGTAGAAAAATATGCATCTTTTCAAGGGTACATAGAACATGTACCTTGATAGAGCATATTCTGTGCCATAAAGTGACTCAACAAATTTTAATAGATTGAGATCGTAAGAAAACGTTCTTTGAAAACAAAAGCAGTGGTTAACTGTACATGCCTATTTTATTAAAAAAGAAGAATCTCGAGTAACTAAGCTAATCTACCTTAAGAAACCTGAAAATAAAGATCAAAAGAAAGTGAAAGCAAGTAGAAGGCAGGAAATAAGAAAGATAAGAGCAGAAATCAATGAAACAGAAATCAAGATATAGAGAAAATCAATGAGACTTAAAGGTGATTCTTTGAGAAGATAAATAAAATTGATGACTCTCTAGCCAGACCTATCAAGATAAAAAAAGAGAAGACCTTATACATTACTGATATCAGGAATGACAGGGGTAACATCACTACAGATTCCACAGGTATTAAAAGGATAATAAAGGAGTATTATTAAATGGCTTTGTGGACTTCTGTATCTGATGCTGAATGAAGGGTAGGAGGACATGACCTCAGGCGGGACAAAGCCCCCATAATGTGACTGAAGCCTTCCTAAAAATGTCACATTAAGGATTTCCAAAGTACTGTCACAGGACCCCTTAATTTCCAAGATTTGTAGCTATCCAGACTTTTCATCTGGAGCCTCCAATGAGTCCACCTTCCTCATACTATTCATTCACTGGTGTTTGTTTATTTTGTTACCCAGTGTGTACTGTGCACAGGGTCCGCATTTGCCCCTCTGCAGATGCCCCGCCCCAAGCTCGATGGGGTCCTCGGCCATCTTTTCCCAGCATTCTTGGAGAGGCCCCGTTCTGGGACCCGCGCCAATCTTTTCCCAGCATTTTTGAAGAGGCCCCGCGGCTCGTCACTTCAAATCCCACCTCATAATGCTGTAGGTCTGCGTCAGGCTGTGAGCAAAGGTCATCTGGTGAAAGCTACCTGAAGCCAGGCCTTCTGTCACCTCGGGCGTCCCATCTGTCATCAGGGGTGCCGGTCTGTTGATCAGTCCGCTGGTCTGGAAGGGCAGGGCCTACACTCCGCAGCCATCACCCTCGTGGCTGGTGGTCTACAACGCAGACATGGGATCATCTGTGTCCAAATCTGCCCTTGGGGCGACCACCAATGAGCCCAAAGAACCAAAGCCAGAACACCTAGCGGGTGAGTAGGAGGTCTGGTGTAGGCCGCTCAAACGGCCATCATGGCCTAAGTGCCCCTATTAGTGGCATCCCACTCCCCTCCCTGTCCCCACCGCCCAGCCCTTCTCTCCCTCCTCCCGGCTGCATAACAGGGAAGATTGAATTTTCACTTATAGTAATCTTTGATTGAGTCTACAAGAGAACCACTGGACTTTTAAACTCCAAACTATTTATTTTTAAGTTATTGAAATAACATAGGACACAGGGGTGGTGGAATAACAAGGCTTCTGAGAAGGGTCTCAATTCTAAAGTCCACCCCACCTCCCCTATCAATCATGACAGTCAGCAAGTCTTTTGAAATAAAGGAAGGAAACGTCCATCAAACAGGTCGTCCTATAGGTAGTCCTAACCTGAGGTCCATGAACAGGCTTAGAGTGTCCACAGCAACATTTTTTGTGCTCCTGTGTATGTTTCCAAGGCAAAGACTTTTTATTCTTAAACTTAGCTTTTGTTCAAAGACAGAATAGACTCCCAGTATCTCCCCAATCCCTGCTGTTTGACTTCATTGTGAGCAGTGACTTTACAAATAATTTGTGCTGTTGGCAATATACATAATCATACCACTATTGAAACCTTCATAGATGACTTACTCTTTTGATCACTTTTTTATTTTTGTATTTTGCTTTAAAGCTATCAATGGAGTTAATATGTATTAATTGCCTTGTGAAGTATTATCATCATGACAATGTACATGTATTTCAACAACGAACAGTTCACTAAGTTTAACAGAGATTAATTTCCTTTATATACCGAGGGTGCCAAAAAATGTATACAAGTGGACACTTCGGTCAACGTTGCTCAAGCAGTAGTTCGCTGTAATCAGAAGTGTCTGGACACTGATAGTAACCACTTTGAGCACCTCTTGTAATTGCAGAAGTCAAACGTGACTTGTATTCATTTTTTGTTATCGGTTTATATTATTACAATATTAATACAGTTTTCTTAAAATTTCTTAACATTTCTGGGGCACCATCTGTATATTTTTTGAAAGTTTGCCGAACGTTATTCTGTGCAGGCTCCGTGCTAGTTTCTGGTGCAATATATATTATCCATCCATGGATGGTTATGTAATATGTGCCAAAATTGAATATGTGCCAAGATCGAAAGGAGAAGCAGTAGTTATTTATAAGAAAGATGCAACCTAACAAGGGCATTGGGGTCAGTAGCACGATAGCCCAAATGTTCAGTTCAACAGCTGAAATCATGGGAAAGCAGAAACAAAAAAACTAAAGAAAAAAGGAATGAAGCAGAGTTTGAGATAAAAAAATATGAGAGAATCTCATTGTTCATAACCTTCAACTTGGCACAACAACTAGCATGTGTCAGGCATTGACGCTGAATAATTGAATCTGGGTATACAGTTAGTCAGCCTATTGCTGCAATCCGCTAGTATATTTGTTAAGCACGCTCCTTAGTCCCTACTCTCGTGCTATGCATGTGAAGATGCCGATGAATGAATAAGTGGTAGGGGTGGAGTTTTATAATGATAATTTATAGTTTTGAAAGCAAAAAAGATTTTGAACTGATAAACAACAGTGAATCACTGCATGTTCTTGAATGGGAAAATGAAACGATGAAAATTAGCTTTTGAGGGGCCATATGAAGTAAATTGATGAATGGTTATAACTCTGAAGTCAGACATTGGGAAGCTGTTGCAGTAAACAGGTACAAGGTTATGGGGAAGTGGACTCAAGAAGAAGCAATAATGGATTGAAGGATGCAAACAAAATGGTCAGATGTGGGGTGACACTACAAGGAAAGCTCCTGCCTGAGCCTTCGTGACATGATACTCTTCTTGAGAGAGGCAGTATGGCATAATGATTAATATATGGGTCTCCAAGGTCAAACAAATCTGATTTCAAATCCCAGCCCTGCCACTTAACTACCTGTATGTCCTTAGGGATGTTACTTACCTTCTTGAGTCCTTTTCATTTAATAAGTATTTACCATAACCTGTTATGTGCCAACTACTGTGCTGGGTCTTGGGGAGACGATGGTGACCAAAATGGACACAGTCCCTACCCTCATCAAGTATACAGAACATAGGGCTGGCTGAGTGGCGTGTTGGTTAAGAGTTGGCTTGGGACGCCAGCTCTGAACAGCAGGGCCCATGTTCGGATCCCACATGAGGGCCAGTGACGCTGTGCCCTCTACAGCTAAGATGGTGAACAATAGCTCGACCTGGAGCTGGGCTGCTGTGAGTTGCCAGCCACGGCGCAGGCTGCAGCCCCTGCTGCAGTGGAGCTCCTGTAAGCGACCGTGTGTGGCCGGCAGCCAGCGTGAGTGGCCATCTAATGGCCGGTGAACAACTGCCTCACCCTGGAAGAGCACAATGATAACAGCAACATGGGCTAGTGAAGCGACGTCCTCCACAACTAGACTGAAGAACAAAAGGACAGCAACTTGTTGGTTCCCCTCCCCCAGTTCCCCAATAAAATGTTAAAAAAAAGAAAGTATACAGAACATAGGGTAGACAGGTATTCAATATCACGTAACATATATCATTGCAAATTGTAATACTTGTTAACGAAAATGTTTTGGATTCTTCCCTTTGTCACTTCTCTGAGATTTGCTTGCATCTGTATTTAAGTCAAAGTTAGCAATTTTGGTTTTGAAAATTCTTTCAGTCTGCATTTTAACACTTGTCACTGTCTCTGGTTTAGATCTAATACAGTACATAAATGAAACAAATAAGAGTGTTAAACACCTGGTCAATCTTCTTTTTGAGAAAACTGGGAGCGGAAGCTGGGTGGTGGTGTTCAAAGCGCTGGTTACTGTGCATCACCTTATGGTTCATGGAAATGAGGTGAGCATGGTGTATACTCAAATGGTAGGCACTTCCTTCTTTCTTGTACAAAGGACTCTCAGTACACGACTGCAAAATGTTTTTGGTTTGGCAAAGCCTTACCACCTTTTACTTTCAATAGTGACAAGTGGGGGAAGTGAGTAGCAGTGGGTATTTAAAAACTGATTTTTCCATATGTGTATATCTTTGCAACCAGTATTTGAGGTATACTATTTTAACCACTAGATAATAGAGTGGATATTACACTCAATTCTTTAGATAATTTAGACCAAAAAATGAAAGTCCTCAAAAATGTCCTCCTGCATAACTGCTTTACTTTACCAGGAGAAACTGGATACCTGAGTGTATTACATCATCACCTGTCCACATCTCCCCACATGCAAACACTCTGTATTTTACAGAACAACTGAAATGTTCTATAACATTAAATTACTTATTATTTTCAATTTCAAATTAACATTTTGTCTCAGTAAGCTTTGCATTACAAAATTAGGATTTAGAAATTGACTGGATTTTGAAACTTACTATAAAGCAACAGTGATCACACAGAATGGTATTGGTAAAAATAGAATATATATATATATATATATATATATATATATATACACACATATATAAATGGAGTGTAATAGAGGCTCACAAGTAGAACTGTACTTATGTGGGAGCTTGGTGGCACTAAATATGTGGGGAAAAGTACAGAATTTAAAATAAAGCCTTTTGGTACAAGAACATCCCTATGGAAAAAATTGAATGAGATCTTTATCTTATCCCATATGCAAAAATAAACTCCTCATGAATGAAATGCCTCTAAATGCAAAATACTAATTTTTAAAATTGAAGAAAATGTAGGAGAACATGCTTATGACATTTGAGGAGGAAAGATACCATAAAGTTGGAATAAGATTCTATATATTACAGACAAAAGATTAATATTCAGAATACATTATCAGTAAGAAAAATGCAGTACAATGGAATAATGAACAAAAGAAATGAACAGAGAGTTCCCAGCAAAATAAACCAGAATGGCTGATAACCATCTGAGAACATGCTCAGATAAGCAAAATTTAAAATGCAAGATGGTATCAAGAGTTGTGAAGACCTTGAGGAAATGGGAACTGACATACTGGTAGATGACATGCAAATATTAGTTGCTGCAGTTTATCACTGAGAGGAGAGCACTGAGACATGGTTAGTAAAACTGAAAATTCCCAGCCCAGTGATCCAGCAAATCCATGACTCATAGCGTATTTACAATATTTAGAAAGTAGAAATCACCTAAATTCCCATCTGTAGGAAACAGATAACTAAAATGAGGTGTATTTATACAATGAAATACTGTATGATATTAAATGGGATGTATACCAAAAAGGCTATATCTCAGAAAAGATGCTAATAGAGGAAGCAAGTTACAGAATGATAGAGTGCAGTATCATTTATATAAATTTTAAAAAGGCACACAATGTTTTCCCATGCGACAAATGTATTAATATATGAAGCTAAAAAGAAAATAGACTGTAAAGATAGCATATTAAAATGAATGACACCTGTTACTTCCAGGTAGGAGAAGGAAATGGAACTTAGGGATAGGGCAAAGGACACTTTTAACTTTATCTGTAATCCTTTATTCCTCTTATTTTTAAAATAGACTTGAAGCTGATATGCCTAAAAGTTAGCAGTTCTCGTTTCTGGGTAGTGGGGTACACAGATGTATGAAATTATTCTTTTTAATTTTCTGCAAGTTAAATTATGAAGTAATTTACTATTAATTAAAATCATTCCCTCATTAATTAAATATTCTCAAAATCAAAAAGGAGGAATGGCAATCTAGAAAATCTTGGAGGAAAAGGGTGTGTATTCACATGAGCTTTAATGTTTAACCCCTTGTGTATTTGAGAGGCCTATAAACAGGAAAACACTGCAGGTCCTTAGACTGTGTACCCCAGGATATGATCCTGCTCACCTTAATGCTCCTGAAGTACATAGAAGCTATATGATAGAATTATGTCACAATGAAAAAATCATTAATGATCTCTATTTGTGGACAGAACCTGATTTTTGAATTTGGCTCATTTGTTTGACAGCGTTTTATCCAACATCTTGCATCTAGAAACTCTTTGTTCACTTTACACAACTTCCTGGATAAAAGTGTCATAGAAGGTAAGGTGATTCTTTTTTTTTTTCCTTTTATTGGGGAACAGTGCGTTTTTCCAAGACCCATCAGCTCCAAGTCAAGTAGTTGTTTCAATCTAGTTGTGGAGGCTGCAGCTCAGTGGCCCATGCAGGGATCGAACTGGCAACCTTGGTGTTATGAGCACTGCTCTCTAACCAACTGAGCTAAGTGGCCTCCCCAGTAAGGTTGATTCTTTGATGGAAATATTTCTATGTGGCAAGGAGGGAAAAGTTCTGAAAACCATGCCTGGTTAATAAAAGTGGTTCTAAATTATGAAGGGTGTGGTGTGTTGTACATTTGATGATGGTAGATAATTTCTCATTCATTGATACAACACATTGGAGTGCCTACTACTAAGAATATCAGAATATGCGGTGTGCTAGAGATGGAGGAAATGAACCCTCCAGCTCTTTACTCAGTAAGGCCTTCCTTGTTCAGACGAGTGAAAATTGTGGCACAACTTTCTGCCCCTTCTCTGCCTGCATTTTATCCTTTCCACTTCTCACCGACCAGCCATCTCTGTGTTTTTCTTTCCTTTGGCTTGTCTATCAATACCCTGTTGGAATGTAAGCTCCAGGAGGTCAGGGATTTTTGTCTGTTTTGTTCACTGCTGAACGTCCAGCATTTAGAAAGGTGTCTGGCTCGTAGTAGGCACTCAAAAATTGTTGAATGAATAAATAAATTGAATAAATGAATCAAGGTATGTTTGGAAGTTGAGTGGTGAGATGGCCTTTTTTTGTCCATTTCATCTATGTCGTGGAGGGCAAAGTCATTTGCTGCATGGAGGGAGAGTTGGGGAGGGATAGCTACGATAGGATGGGCAGTTTGAGGAAAACGCTAAGAATTTACAATAGTTTCTGTGGAAATGTGAAAGAAACTGATGAAGTTTAATTATTTCCTCTGTTTGGGAATGTCACCATCAACATGACATCCTGAAGTGATATCAAAGTTTTGAGGAGATAAGAAAATAATCTTTAACATAAAGTTGGAGGAAAGTTGAACTAATGATTAATAAAGGCCATTCTAGTTTTTGTGCCTCAAAGATATTGTTGAGGTATATGAGGGAATGTGGAATGATAAGTCTTTGCATTTATGGACATATATTATAAATGCTTAATATTGGTTAAATTCAAAATAATTAAAATATTTCATTTTTAGGCTATGCTATGTCAACTTTCATCAGACGATATAGCAGGTACTTGAATGAGAAGTCACTCGCATATAGAATGATAGCATCTGACATCACCAAAATCAAAAGAGGGTCAGTAAATATCATAAGTTTGTAAGGAAGAAATACCGAAATACATATGTGCTCTGATATGTGTAGTTGGTTAAAAACACAGCTGTATTTCAAGATGTTGATGTCTTGTGCTTCTCAAACTCTTAATCATTGATACTATGAATTTCTTTTGTCTTTTATAGGCTGGATGGTATGATGAGAACTATGAATACTAAAGAGCTGTTAAACACACTTCGAGTTATTCAAATTCAGTTCGATGCTCTTCTTAGTTTTAATGTAAGAGCTTTATAAATCTTTTTAAATATTGGCAAATGGCATTGTTTAAGTGTAGGTGGGGAAGGAATTTTTTTTAATTGTGGTGGTAATTGATTACACTTACTTGATTTCCAGGCAAATCCTGAGGAACTCAATAATGATATAGCACGTGCTGCTTTCATGCTCCTCTTTAAGGATTCTCTTCGCCTCTTTGCAGCCTATAATGAGGGCATCCTAAATCTGCTAGGTAGGCTAAAAAATAAACATTATGTGCTTTAAAAATAAGCCGGTACAAATAATTTATCAAAATCTTTTAAGTTTACATTTAGACTCACATTCGTTTTAGATTCAAAATCGAAGATCCTTGCAGGGTCATGTATAGTTTTAAATAATGAGACATTATATTGGGTTTTGTTTTGGTTAAAATTATTTGGTGAATTGCCCACAGAACTTTTCAATTTTTGTATAAGTGCTAACTGATATTTCTGGGAAATTTACCAGTAAATCAACATGGGTTGCCATATTTATACCTTACTTATGCAGTCCCACTCCACCAAGGTAAAAAACACAGTTCTGACTTTCCTAAGAAAATGTAGCCTATACCATAAGTAATTGTTATTGATTACTCTATAAGTGTGTATTTCTTAGTTTTTTCAGGAAATTTCTGTCATCATTTCACCCTAATGAGTGATTCTTTCACAGAAAGGGTTCTCCAAACTTCATTGATGAGAATTTGAGATTTTCTTATACTGGAGAAGTACCTGGTACATTTGTAGTTATAAAAAAGTAGGAAACACAGCCCCTTCCCTCAGAGAGCTTCACAGTGTTCAAAAAGATTACAGACTACGGGCCGGCCAAGTGGCACGATGGTTAAGAACTGGCTTGGCATGCCAGAGGACCCCGGGTCGGATCCCATGTATGAGGGTCAGTGACACTGCCCTCCACAGCTAAGATGCTGAACAACAGCTCAACCTGGAGCTGGGCTGCCGTGAGTCGCTGGCGACGGCGTAGGCTGCAGCCCCT